AGAAAATACCCTTCGAAGTCATCGTCGGAAAAGTACACCATCCGTGCCGGCCACCGCTCGAAATTGTACTTCTTGGCCACCTCGCTGCCGAGCAGCGACCTAGCTGCAGCCGCGTTGTGCTGCCCGCACACCGCGTAGTAGAAGTATTCTCCCACCAGCTCATCCTTCCACTCCTCTGGCTTCAGACGTTGTGCCTTGGTCCCAGGAGTTGGTTTTTGAAGCCCCAGTGGTGCGAGCTTGAAGACCGGCAACTCGTACGTCTGTTCTTTATTTTCGAACGCAGACCGCATTGCTTCCCTTATCGTTTCCACGAGGACAGGATCTAGCGACCGCTGGTTGTAAAGATCCTCCCACTCCCTCATGTCAACGATCTGAGCCGGGCTGATCTCAAACTCCCACCTTGTCCTGACGCCGTCTTTGTACTCCATGACGTACCCGGCGTCCACGTCGATGGCAGGCCGCGGTGAAGAAGGTCCCGACTCAGGCTGTTTATGTTTCGAAGCTGGAGGTTTGCTATCCGGGTGGCCCTCTTCCACCCCCCTCCCCTTCCGTTTCTCTCCCACAGTCCTCGGGGTCTTGGTCTTCTGTTTCTTCGAAGATCCCACCAACTCTTCTTGACATTGTCCCTTCCTTTTTTGGGGAGTGCCCCGCACTTCCTCCCCGCCCACGGCCTCGCCTTCCGCGCCATGGCCCTCGGCGGGCTCCAAGTCAGACCCACACAGGACTCCCTCTTCTCCGGGATCCGCTGCGGTCTGTTGCCGGACCCCAGGTATGGACAGCACGGACCTGTCTCTTTCCCTCGACGGCGAAAACGGCGGACGCGGTATCGCCTCATCTTCTTTGTCGTCAAACTGACCTCTGGCATCCTCCCGCTGCACATGTGTAGCCTCCCCGGAACCCAGATCCCCCCCCTCCCCCGCTGCCCCGCTCGACTCACAACCGCCGCACGGCTGCAAAGGCATTGACAGTTCCAGGTCGGGACCGACTTCACAAGGGACATCGAGGGCAATGCCCTTGTCCTCCAACAGGTCGAAGAACTGTCGACCCAAAACAAACCCGCCCTGCTGCCGGAGGTCGTTGTAGAACGGGGTGTTTGCAGCACCCGCTCCGAACCCCTCGAACAGACACATGTCGAGAACTGCCCCCTTGGCACCGGCTACGGCGTTCCCCTTCGAACCGTACACATTTTTCATGTAAAACCGTCGACGACTGCCTTTCGCATTCTCCCACCGCAAGACAGCCCCCAGAACCCTGCGGCGCTTGTTGGCTTCGACGAAGATCACAGAACCACACGGCTGTTGGACTGGGTTCGTAGCATCAGCACAGCACCAGTCGACGAACCATTTCGACCTAGCGTGGTCGGACCACGTCCTCGAGGTCGTAGACGGCCGTTTTGTAGAATTTTTCCCAGATCCCATCCCGGAGGTCGCTGCAGGCTCCCCTTCGCCCCTGGACGAAGACATATTGTCTGCGGACGACAACGGAAAACAAATAAAACACCAGCGATCAAATCGCAGTCAAAGCACAACGCATGCCAAAAACAGAGGAGGCACACCTTGCCCTCAACACGTCGGTCACATGACGCTATCCGAGGACCTCGAAGTTCGGATCCCGCGAACTTCTAACGCGAAGACCAGCAATGACCTCTTACCTGCAACGAGATCATTCTTTACAAGGGCATACGCTTCATGCAGTCGGGCGACAACCACGTCGGTTTTTTCCGGAACACGGATGGCCACCGGATCGGGAATGGACGGGTGGTGACGCACAAAGCCCACGTTGGACGGGGCAGTGTCCTTTGTTTAGCAATATTAACCCGGACAGTTCATGACGCGAAGTTCGCCGAGATCCGTACTAAAAGTGCCTGTCCGAAGCCAAACCAACGCACCCACCGAAACGTGAAGTTCGCCGGGATCCGAACTTCAGGAAAATGCAATAGGCAGAGACGGCGTCAGGCAAACACAGATTGGACTGAACCACGACCCGGAAAGGCCGCACTAACACAAAAGGCCGCTTGAGAAGGACAAGTTCGCCGAAATCCGAACTTCTTCTGATATGCGCAACTTGGCATTGGATGAAGCCAAGTTCGAACGAGCAGCCGTGACAACATTGTATGAGTCCCTGGAGGAGCAGTTGTGGATCACGGTTTGACTCGTGCCGCAATCCACGGGGGATCATCAAGCCCAGCGCCCGTTCAATACACAGGCGTCACAGGAAGTTCGCCGGGATCCGAACTTCAGGAGGCTGCGAGAGAGACAGACAGAAAGTTGGGGTCCTAGCACGGTGTCCTAGCACGGTGCCAACAGGATTTCCAACAAGAGGGCCCGCCAACCAGGATCTCCAACGGGTTTCAGGAAACGCGAAGCTCGCGCGACCTTGCGACGGGGATCTCTAAGAGTGCTTTTGGCATCTCGCTACGACAGTGACTGACAATTTGGCACACGTTGATGGTGGACGGGCGAAAACAGGTTACGGGCAGATCCTTCCGCGGTGAGGGGTCTTTCCCGCGGCCCGCCCGACGCCAATGACATCAGAGACAAATTAACGGAGAGGCCAGAATGCGAAGTTTGCCGAGATCCGAACTTCGTCGGGGCACGAAATGGCAGGAGACGGCGTCAGAGACGGACGTCCAACATGACTTTTGTCATGTCACTGAACCGAACGACGACCAGGGATTTGCACGACAAGCGCGCGGTGCAGCGTGTACCAGCAACCGCGGAGTCTCACACTTCTCTGCAGTCCTACAAATCTCACATGTTAGGCAACACAACCGCATCTCGTCCCTCGTCGTTCTTTTCCCTCAAACAGAAGGACTAAAGACCGGTTCGGATGTGGCGACATTTGGGGATCCCCCGGGACGACGTCGTGAACCGAAGCCAAACAAAGCATTCAGTGACGATCCGTATACGCGGGTCTGCGGTTCATTGACCGATGCACTATCCGAAAAAACGGACATGTATTTCATCCTAACAAACACCCCCGGTCCTACTAAGGAGTTTCCTATGCAGTCCTGTATGTCAGCCACTTTCTCCTCAACCTCACGAAACAACGAATAGTTTCGAACCTGACCTGCTATCACCAAATCTGGCCACCCATCCACACGTTCAGGCCCACGCATCGGCACGAATTTGGACCCTTCAATCACAACCTCGTTGCGCGACACGAGCACAACTGCGTCGACGAGTTTCCTGCTCTTGTTTGAAGCAGCGACACACAGAACTCTGGCGAAATCAGATCCGGACACAGTCAACCGCACACAGCAGTACGACACAGCTCGTGGAGAAATTCCGGGGCCACGGAGCGGGTACTGGTCCAGGAACGAGCAGCGACGAGCGCAGTCCACCAACTCTTGTTTCCGTGAGCCACCCCAAGTTTGTGGCGATGACCTGACGTTGTGGCACTCGAGGCGACTGAAATAGCGGCTAATGCAGCTTAGTGCTTTCCGCATATGGTTCAGGAACTTATGTCCGAGGACGGCGTCAGGCAGTGGGATGAGGTCCCCGAACTCCGACATATTCGCGAACTTGTACTGGCTTGCCCAAGGGCAGTGAGTCTCCATATTGTCCCAATTGCCCTCGCCCCAGTTGTCAACATGCGCGTCCATGCACGGGACGACGGTCATCCATGGGTCCTCGTCGAAGTCCTCTGCGGTCGCTCCGTGGATCGTTGTCACACCGTTGAAATGCCGCACGGATTTCGCACAAGGACGAAAAGGTTCTGCCAAGCGAATGCGCGTCTCGGCACTCATGGCCTATGGTCTCGATAAGATCGACTCGAAGATGCGTGGTGTCGAGAAGGTCCCCTCCATCACGCAACCTGCACACCACGCGCACATGCCCGACGACACACACGGGCATGGAGACACTCGTAAACGCGTCATGTCTCACGATGAGCGACCCATGGCATTAGACGCAGTGTATGCCCCAAGATCAGATTTTGGGTGGCCAGCTTCGTCGGTGTTGACGTCTACCCGCCCGCGGGCCAGCCGCAAACACGCCCTGCGACATGTTCGCCTGGATCCGAACTTGGCGAGACTGCGAGGGAAAGACGAATTTGTCTCCCAAACCCGACGTCCAAAACTGCCAAGAAGTTCGGATCCAGGCGGATTTCAATTTCGTACGAATAAAAAGTTGTGGCAATCCACCGGTCGCCAGGAAGTCCGCAGTCAGAACCCGCACCACCCGAAAGGTGAAGCACGCCGGGGTCCGAAGTCGACGGTTTTCCGACGAACCGTGCACGGGAAGTCCGGATCTCAGCGGACTTTGCATTTTATAGAATCCGTAGTCCGCCGTGATCCGAAATTTACGATTGTCTGAGGAACTGTGCACGGCAGGTTCTGATCCACGGCCCAGCAGGAACATCTCCTGCCACATGCATTGCGAACGGAAGACAACTCAAATTCGTTGGGATCCGAACTTGGCAAATTCGCCGGGATCCGAACTTGCGAAAGGAACATCTCCTGCCACATGCATTGCGAAAAGAAGACAGCTGGTTCGGATCCACGGCCCAGCACGCGAACCCGACGATGGGACGAGGAACCTTTGCACGAGAAGTACGGACCCCGGCGGACTTTGCATTTTTGCGAAACAAAAGTTGTGGCACACACCTGTTCGCGAGAAAGGACACAATCAGTACCCACACCATGCGCAACGCGAAGTTCGTCGGGGTCCGAACTTGCCACGCGAGGTCCGGATCCACGGGAGGGTGTTCGCCGGGATCCGAACTTCTCGAGACCGCGTGGGAGAGAATCAACCGGCGGGCTACACATTTTTTCAAATACAAAGTTATGCCAAACCTCGGGAGCTAGAAACCCGCGTTATGAACCCGCATATTGAGACAAGCGAAGTCGTCGGGGTGCGAACTTGATGTCTGTGCGAGGAACCGTGCAGTAGAAGTCCGGATCCCGGCGGACTTCGCATTATTACGGATCCGAGGTTCGCCGAGGTCCGGACTCGGCGAGTGTGCAAGGAATAGTGCGAGCGAGGTTTGTTGGCCGGGATCCGAACTTGGCGAAATTACGTGGGAGATACACACCTGTCTACCAAACTCGCCGTCCTGCAATTTCTTGAAGTTCGGATCCCGGCGGACTTCATATTTTTCCACGTCCTAGGCTGTGGTTGCGGACCGGGGTTGCGAAGCGTGTTCGAGCAGCTGCATGAAGTTCGTCGGGATCCGGACTTGGCGAAATTGTGTAGGAGACATACACTCGTCGTCCAACAATTTCTTCAAGTTCGGATCCCGACGGACTTCCAATTTTTGCACGTCCCAGGCTGTGGTTGGGGACCGGGGTTGCGAAGCGTGTTCGAACAGCTGCATGAAGTTCGCCGGGATCCGAACTTGGCGAAATTGCATGGGAGATGCACACGTGTCTGCCAAACTCGCCGTCCAGCAATTTCTTGAAGTTCGGATCCCGGCGGACTTCTAATTTTCCACGTCCCTGGCTGTGGTTGCGCACCGGGGTTGAGAAGCGTGTTCGAACAACTGCACAAGCTCGCCGAGATCCCAACTTCTTCCGGTGTTTGATTGCGCGATCAGTTCGGTTGGAACGGCCATGTTCCGATAACGAGAACAGTGTCGACGACACGTGGGATGGTGGGTGCTCAACGTTCGCCGTTCAGTGACCGTCAAGTGTCGACGACCCTACGTCCTCCAAAGTTCGACGTCCGACGAGGTTCGACGCCCGCCGAGGTTTGATGTGGAGCCAGGTTCCATGGGCAGCATGGTTCGATGTTATACGAGGTTCGATGTGCAACAAGATTGTGACGAAGTGCTTTTTATTCGTTCGAAGATCGGGATCGACGTTTTTCCGATCGGTTGTGCGTTTCGTTCGCCGGTTTCGATCGTGCACATGATCATTTGCCTTGAGGATTCTCCACGATCGTTCTCCACGATCAATTAGCACAGAACAGTCGATTGGTTGATCGACTGCTCGGTTGGCGGTTGGTGTGGTGGTTGATCAACCAACAGAGCAATCGCCAACCGAGTTGTCGACCAATCAGTTGATCATGGCAGATTTCCTGACCGATCGACGGTTCGGTCGAGGACTGTCAGGTGGGTAAATAAATAGGTCGCTCGCCGACGGGTTGATGTTCGGTGCAGCACACACGATCAATCATCCGATCTCAAGTAATCTTCTGTCGTTTCGCGATTGGTCGGTTGGATGCGTTGTCGCCTCATGCATTGGTTAATCATCCGTCGGGCAGATCAGCGGCGCTATTGTTGGGGAAGCAAACAGCATCTATCACCCGATCGCAAGTGGTCGGCTTGCATTTCGTGATGGGTCGGTTCATCACGTGTGTGGTGTACATATTGTCATCGATCTGATCGACCATCAGATCACGAGTGATCTGAACACACACGACAGAAAGAACAACACACACGCGGTGGTAACGTCGACACGGCAGACACGACCAATCATCCGATCGCGAGTGATCTCATCGTGTTTCGCGATTGGTCGATGGATGCGTTCGCTATGTCGACATTGCCACCGCGTGTTTCGATTGATCATCCATAGGGCAGATCGGTGGACATGACATTGGGACAGCACACAACCAATCTGGTATGGCAAGTGCTCACGATGACGTTGTGTTTCGTTACCATGACGTTCATCCCTGACCGCGCATGTTCGCGCGCATCTCCCCGTGGAAAACGCGCGCGAACACACATGCATGCGAACACATATGCACAAACAGGCACACACACACACACACACACACACACACACACACACACACACACACACACACACACACACGCGCGCGCGCCGACACACGGCGCCCGCACACACACGCCCCTCAGGTACAGACACGCGCACGATCCTGCCTCGCGCGTGTGGCACACACTTCAATACAAACACAAACACAAAGGAACACGCACTCGAACACACACACACACACAATGAAGCATGCACAAACACACAATCGCACACAAACACACACACACACACACACACACACACCCGCACACATGCAACCACGAAATCTTTCGATCTGCGCGAGCATATCGTCACAAAAAACCTCCCCCGCACGCGCGCACATGCAAACATACATCCCGACTGCGTGCGCACTCACCGTGTGAAGATGAGCGCGAACCCCGACATTTGTCGTGACGACACTCTGTCCACCTTTGGGCGTGCACTTCGCGTTTGCTGGGGTGCTGTGTGGGGTGGCGGTCGTGCCTTCTGAGAAAGGAGATCGGAAGCGACGTCGAATATGACGTGGACAGCGACTTGGTGGGCGGAGGGACATGCGAGGGCATGTGGGGTGCGTCGGTGCCACGAAACGTGCGCGGTGAAGAATGGTTGTGCCAGCTATGGCGCGCCAGCTGTTGACGACAATGAGGTGCGTGGCTTCCGTCGGGCAGCATCTCCTCAGCAAAAAACACAAAACGCATCGTCAATGCCTAGGGCGCCGCTCGTATTTGTAGGCGCGCGGGACAGGAGGCCCCCTCGGGCCTTCCGTTTCGGATTTCCGTGCAGGGTCCACGCGCCGACTCGCGGCTGTTCGATCCGCGCATCGAACGGTGGCTGCACGTCGAAATTGTCGCGAGGGGGGCCTGGTGCGTCGAAATGTGACAAAAACGTCCCTACGGGCTGGCCCTTCCCAGACGTCATTGGAAAACGGGCCCTTGTTCCGGGCCCCTCGTGTTCGTGTCTTCGGGTTTGCGGGCCCCGGTGGAGGGGGTCTCAGGTGTCGGCGGGGGGCAGTTTGTACTTTCCAGGGGTGAGGGGGGAGAACCGCGGG